TTACATGGAAAATAGACATACAGACAAATTACAAAACAGTATATTACAAGATATGGAAGAATGAGTACGTAACTCTAAGGGGAAGGCAATGCAGTTGAGGAAAGCTTCCTAGAGGAGTAATAATGTGAGAGTTGGGTTTTAAAAGATACGTAGTTCCACCAAACAAGTGTGAGAGGGATGGGACAGCCTTCAACGTAGAAGGAATAGTAGGTGCAAAAGCAAAGAAGTATGAAACACAGCAGAGGCTCTGAAAACTGCGAGCGGTGGGAATTGAGAGGAGAGGTGAGGACCGTTTCAGTGTTTTGAGCTGTTAAAAATTTCATCTTATCCTTCTCCCTTACCCACTCCTACACCCTTAACATCTCCAGGTAAGTATTTGGCTGTAATTAGGAGATTATTACTCCATTAAGGCAAATATCTTGGGGTTTTTCTCATTATTTTTCTGAAAGTCTTTTTTCTATTTTTCTGTTCCCCACAAGTTCCATTTAATTTTTTTATTGTGCTACTGTTCAGATTCTAGATTCCCCTTGGTGTCTTTGGTATAAGAAATTCACATGTGCCGGGCGCGGTGGCTCAAGCCTGTAATCCCAGCACTTTGGGAGGCTGAGGCGGGTGGATCACGAGGTCAAGAGATCGAGACCATCCTGGTCAACATGGTGAAACCCCGTCTCTACTAAAAATACAAAAAATTAGCTGGGCATGGTGGTGCATGCCTGTAATCCCAGCTACTCAGGAGGCTGAGGCAGGAGAATTGCCTGAACCCAGGAGGCGGACGTTGTGGTGAGCCGAGATCGCGCCATTGCACTCCAGCCTGGGTAACATGAGTGAAACTCTGTCTCAAAAAAAAAAAAGAAATTCACATGTAACTTTTACCTGTGGAGTATAGTGAAAAAGGAGGAAGACATATCTTTAAATTCTGTACACATACACACATACAGTTTTGTTACAGTAGCTTTGTTTAGGAACACAATTGCTCAGCTGAATTATTTTAGTAATTAATATTTTTAATCCTATAAATGTTGGTCTGTAGTCCCTTACCAATGATGTAAGTGAAGAAACTTGCTTTTCATTGTGTGACTCAACACTTCTCGAGGTTGACTTTTTTAAATCAGGGTTGGGGTTCTGCTTTTTTCCACCCACCTTCCTTCTATCCATGGACTCAGGAAAACACCCTTGATGACTGCACAAACTAAAAAAAGCAATAGCATTAATCCACTCTGTTAGTTTCTGGCACTGCCTGTGTTTATACCATGTCTCATATTGGGTTGTGATTGTGTATCTGTCTCTGCGAGCCCCATAAGGTAGGAATCATAACTAAGGCGTTCATTTGTACACCTACATCAATGCCTAGTTCATAATGGATGCTCATTAAACTTAATTTGTTGAACTAGATTGAATTGAACTGAACTGAACTGGACTACGGCACTACAGGAGAAGGGGATTTTTGAGTTTGCTTTCAAGTGAGATTGATTTAAAACAAATTTAGAAAAATTATTCTTTTGTTTTTAAACATAGTCTAAATTTGGGGTACAGCTACCAATATGTTCATTGCCCATAATTTTTTAAGCATTCTGAGCAATGATTCATCAAAATCCCCAAATAGATATATTTTTTAAGTCACAGTGGCCCTAGGAAACAAAATTAGGCTTGGTAAATATAAATAGTAAGTGTGTTCTCATTATAGTCAGGAATGTGTGGTCTTGTTGACATACAGAGGAGGATCTTTCTTTCTTCCCTTTGTAATAGAGTTGGAAATGAACCAAAGATCCCCTGATAAATTCCTATAGGGCTTCCTGGCACATTTATTTCATTCTTTCTAGAAGTCACCAAGACTTGTTTTATTGTTCAAAAAAAATCAGTGCTACCTCATTTCCTAACACTTGTTTTCTGACCTCCAAGTATCTCCAGTCCAACTGGCCAAAAAGCCAGGCCAAAAATGTCTGTATTTCAGGAGAGGAACAAATGAACTTAGCTTCTGCTCCTTTCCCTCTACTTTGCAATTTTTTCTTTTGCAAAGGAGTTTGGAATTTAAATTATCCAAGCCCAGAATCTTTCAGTCTAAAACTGCAAAACAATGGTAATAAGATAATTGGTCATTGCTCCAGTCTTTCTCATGGTTTGATAGCTCTTTTTTGTTTTGTTTTTTTTTTTTTTTGAGACAAGGTTTCACTCCTGTTGCCCAGGCTGGAGTGAAATGGCATGATCTTGACTGACTGCAACCTCTGCTTCCTGGGCCCAAGCGTTTCTCCTGCCTTAGCCTCCCAAGCAGCTGGGACTGCAGTCACTGGTCTGATTTTTGTATTTTTTGTAGAGATGGGGTTTCACTGTGTTGCCCAGGCTGGTTTTCGAACTCCTGGGCTCAAGCGATCCACCCACCTCAGCCTCCCAAAGTGCTGGGATTACGGCATGAGCCACTGCACCCGTCCATCCAAATAACTCTTATATTATAAAGAAGGCTCTCTTGCCAATGGGTAGCTATTTTATTCATTTACTCAGCGTAACTTTATAGGGTACCTCTGTGTTAAGCCCTGGAGATCAAAGATGAGTAAGACTTCCCCTTACCTCCCAGTCTATCTTGGTAACAATTATACAGTGCTAAGATAGCAGTAGGACAAAGTAATAATAGTAATTAGTTCAGCATGGAGGGATCTGGAAGAGTTTTACAGAAAAAGTGACATTTATGTATTTATGTATGTATGTATGAATGAGACCACATCTGGCCTAAAAAGTGACTTTTAATTCTTAGTCTTAAAGAATAAGATTCCTGCCAGGTGTACTGGCTCATGTTTATAATCCCAGCACTTTGGGAGGCCGAGGCAGGCAGATCACTTGAGGCCAGGAGTTCAAGACTAGCCTGGTCGACATGGTGAAACCCTGTTTCTACTAAAAACACAAAAATTAGCCAGGCGTGGTGGTGCACACCTGGCTGAAGCACAAGAATTGTTTGAACCCAGGAGGCAGAGATTGCAGTGAACCAAGATCGTGCCACCGCACTCCAGCTTGGACAACAGAGTGAGACTCTGTCTCAAAAAAAAAAAAAAAGAGATTTCAGCAGAGAAAGGATAGCTTTACATTTCAAACACAGGACTTAGTAAGAATAGCTATGTGAAGTATGAAAGCTCATGACAGGCCAGGCGCCGTGGGTCATGCCTATAATCCTAGCACTTTGGGAGGCTGAGGTGAGTGGATCACCTGAGATCAGGGGTTCAAGACCAGCCACCGCGCCTGGCCTATTTCTTCATTTTTTGAAATAAGGATAGGGCCAGATGTGGTGGCTCACGCCTGTAATCCCAGCACTTTGGGAGGCCGAGGCGGGTGGATCACGAGGTCAAGAGATTGAGACCATCCTTGTCAACATGGTGAAACCCTGTCTCTACTAAAACTACAAAAAATTAGCTGGGCATGGTGGCGCGTGC